TCCCTTGATCTACCCCGAGAAATCACCAGCCCTGAGAAGTCAATCATTCCTAACAGTCTCCAAGCCATTATAAAGACTAATAATTTTTTCAATGAACGTCTTCTTCCCTTCCTTGAAGGAAATACCTAGCAACTGACAGACTTCCCAAGTTGCCATGGCTTCCTCCACCAATTTCGAAACCGAGGGGAAAAGACAGTTACATATTAACCAGGTTCACAGCTTCCCTTGTTAAAATTCTTTTTTCCCTCCTGAAATTCCTGCAAATCTGTGAAGCAGAAAGTTGGGTTGATGACGATCCTCAAAATGATTATTACAAAATAATGGAACCAACGTTGTATTCTGCTTAACAACAGAACAAGAGATATCAACATCCTGTTCAGATCCCCTGTTTTCGGAAGAAACCGGTTGAATAAAACCTTCAGGAGCATTTTGATCTTTATTCATAAAAACCTGACAGCCACTTTTAGAATCCTCCTTCCTCGAGCTTAGCCAAATTCTTCTACCTCTTGATCTTCTGTAGACTCTTGAAAAGCGACTGCTGCTCCTCTTCCCACCAATATTTTAATTGATAAACCAGCTGAACTGGAAAACCCAGTTTCCAACGATTCTGACTCTTCTTAATTTCTGCACACCCATTGTGAATTACTGAATTTCTTCCCCTCTCACAAGAAAATGAAGTGCTACACGCATTAAGGCCCACTTGATTAACATCCTTAGCCATTTTCACCTTCTTTAAAACAGCTCTATTTTTAACTGGAACTTCATCCCTTACTGAAACTGTATGTTGCCCTTGTAATTCGGACTGAGTCTGAACCTTTTTTGATTTCCTGGCCTGTTCCATTTCAACTTTACAGCAGGGCCTGCTGGGATAATTTTAGTAACAGGAGAATAGACTCCCAATTAGAATCCGAATGGGTTGGAAGACTCTGATCCACAACCTCTCGCAGCCCAAGGCCTGCATAATCCCCACAAGGATTTAATTCAAATTCAAATTTGTCTGACACCCCATTATTATTGGGCAGAGTGTCAGTCTTCTTTTTCAGATAAAGTTCCCCACCTTTTGACATCCTCCTTTCTTGACTATTCTGAAGCCACGTGTCAACCTTTGACTGAAAACCTTCTGCTGAGTTCTCTCTATTGTCTTCTTCCTTCTCTGTGTTTCTACCATCATCCCCCTTTGAAACATCACCATTGCAACTGCCATATGAAAAATTCTGCCTTACGTCTCCATAAGCTTCAGAGATAGGTTTAGAGCTGGAACCCACATTAATTTTAACTTTAAAGGATCTGCCATAAGATCCTACAATAACAGATTCTTGTACGTCAAAAGGGCTTGCAACCCTCAACAACATTTTGGCCGAAGAGAAGTCATCTCTATTTCTAGTTTCCTCCAGGATGCTAACAACCTTTCCCCACTTACTGCCAAGCTTATCCAGAAAAGGTACACTCCAACTAAGAAGCGGTAAACCAACCAGTTCGACCAAGCAATAAGCCAAAGGAACTCCATCTTCACTCAACAATGGATCTACCTAATCAAACCAGCAATAGAGTTTCTCACGAAGACTCAACCATGCCTTTAAAAACTCTTCATTTGTATTGAACGTAATAATACTGCCGTTCCTGACATAACCCCACCTTACTATCTTAACCTGGAAACCCCCTCCTTTGCCAAAGCTCTCTTCACCATATCAGGCTGAAATGGATCTTTGATAACCCCTGTTAAGGAGTTTTTCACCCAGCAAAAATCATCTGATGGGATGTGCATATCCCATACATTTCTTATTCCATTTGCATTCTTCTGACCTCCCCTAATCACCAATCGTTCTGGATTCAAACTCCTACTGTTAGCCACATTCACGACCTCCTTATACGATCTGTCATCTCTCAAGCTTCTCGGCTTCTCCAGCTCAGCCTGCTGTCTACCAAAAGCCTCTCTATCTAGCTTAATTCCTTCCAACTGATTTCTTTGAACCTTTGCTTCTCTTCTCCTACCCCTCATGTACTTTGCAACTCCCACTGAGACTCTCATCCCGTCAATGAGCGTTCCGTTGACATTCTGAACTGCTCTTCTGCAACCTTCCTCCTTCGCAAATTGCACAAAAGCAAACGTGGATGACTTATAATTTGGTTTAACCATAAAATTTGGAATAAAGACCCTCAATATTGTTCCATAATGGTTGAAAATCTCTCTTAATTCACTTCTATTAACTCTCTTACTAAGATTGTCAACAAAAACAGTCCATTCCTCACCGGTGGATGAACGACCGAAAGCACTCGCTCTCTTTCTCTCTCTACCTTTCTCACTCATTTTTATTTTTTCCGTCGATTTTACATATAGGTTGTTGGTGTGACCAAAAGTTGAGCTACAAGTAAGCTATCTATGCAAGGGTAATGAAAAAGATTTTCGATGATTTCTTGGCCTCAGGACAAGTTTTTCCCCATTTTTGATATCCCATAATTTCTATAATGGCTCGAGATATTTTGGCAATTCTTGTAACTACAGTGGCATCAGAATCTGCTTTCAGCACTGGAGGTTGTGTTCTTGACTCATTTCGGAGTTCTTTAACTCCAAAAATTGTCGAGTGTCTCATTTGTGCGCAAAATTGGCTAAGAGCATCACCTATAGCAATCCAAACAGAGGAACAAATTGAAGAAATGGAGAACATTGAGAGTAGTAAGTAATAATTATGTAAACATTTGTAAATATATTTTCTAACTCATTTCTGTAAATATTCTTACTTCTAAATATTTTTTGACTTTTAATAGGTTTCGAAGATTTAAGGTTAAATGAAACAATGATGACCATTGATGATTGATCGAAGATGGACACTTACAAAGGTAATTTCCATGATTTAATGTTATAAAGCTTATGACATGATAATATTTGAAACCAAACCGATTGAAATTTCTATGATTTAATGTTACTGCAGCTTATGACATGATAATATTTAAATACTGTTTCTGTTTGTGATATTGAAATATTGTTTTGATAATATATTAAACATTATTTTTAAATTTAAATATATTTCAATTCATATGTAATTTGTTAATTAGGAGGAAAAGGTTAATCAAAATGTGAAATAATGTTGCTTTTAACATAAAATATGGACTGTTATTGATTTGTTAATGTGTTGGTTTAGATTCTGGTCTGGGTGATGGAGAGCTGACTGAAAAGCTAAACTTAAAGGTTGAAAAGTTTTCAGCATCTGCATGGATGATTATAGTTTCAAGTTACTTTTTATTTAACTTTGATAATTGAATTACACTTTGATTTGGTTGTTTAATTTGTAGTGTGAACCGAACTGTGAACAATATGTGGATTATAGTTTTTGTATGGATTATATATGTGGAATGTGGATCATCCATAGCAATTTTGTATGGATTATATATGTGGTTTATATGTGGATTATATATGTGTTTTCAGTATCTGTATGGTAATTTTTTTTGAATTTATAGTTTTTTCTTTGAAAATCAAAGCAGGCAATGATTTTTTCAATTATGTGGAATACTGTTTTCGGTTTTTGAAAACCCGAATTACTGAACCGAACCGAAAAAATCGGTTTCGGTTTTTTCGGTTTCGGTTTAAATTTTGAAAAACCATTTATTTCGGTTCGGTTCAATTTTTGGTAAAAAACCGAACCGAACCGAACCGAACCAAATACACCCCTAGCTGGTGGTGTAAGGGGCTTTTTGTACACAATAGTTAAATAGATGCTGTCAGATATTTTTGCTATGTTCCCTAAAGGATCCTTTTTTTCCATTAAGCATCATTGATTTATTCTTTTATTTCTTTGATTGTAATCATGGACCTTTTGTTTTCTCTGTTTTTCTATAGCATGAGTCATTATGCCACAAAAGATTTAGACTAGTTGAGATTACTATGAATTTGTTGGCCATCCAATCAGAGCTGATTTGACTGTTTCTGACAATGTATCGCCCCTGAAAATAGTAGTTTTATTTTCAAATTGGATATTGCTAGAAATTTCTGGAAATAGAAACGTTTCATGAATTGTGAAAGAAATATATAAATTGGATTTTCTCTTTCCATTGCTCAATGGGTTGATTTATATTTCCCTGTCTTTACATAGCCTTTAGACAAATCCTGATAAGTAAACCAAAGTTTAAGAAAATGAAATCTTTTTTAATACAGTTTTCTAATATTCTTTTTTCTTTTGCTTTCAGATGCAACTAAGTTATTGAAGAAGACATATTTCAGAGAAGTCTTATTGGTGGTTACATATATAGTAGTTGTTTTGTTAGTTAACTACAAGTGTTTCAGGTACCGTTGCTGCTTCAATTGCTGACATTGACTTTGTCAGAAGACGAAAAGGAGTTGAGGAGCATTTCGAGGATGGCACCATTTCACTCCTTAGCATAGCATCAATTTGTCATGGGTTTAAGATATTGAATACCCCCACTACATCTGCAATGTGCCGATTTGCAAATTTTTATTTCTATAACACTGAAAAGTTCAAAGATTTTATTAGTATTATCAAATTTAAGTTTATTTTCTATTATATATCTTATATCATTGTGATTGTTCATATGATAGAATGTTTTTCCTCAATTATTTCATGACTTAATTATTCTGTTTGTTCATTTATATTGGGTTTTCTGTTTCCGTGCATGCTAATCTATTTCATGCCCTTTGTTTTTGTTTTGACCAATGACACTCAATTTTAATTACTTTTTCAAGTGTCATCTTGCAAATAACTTAAGATTATTTTCAAATATAGAGTTCGCATGTTTTCTCCTATGACTAAATATTTATGGATCATGCTTTTCCATATTTATTTTGCATTACTGTTTCCTGTAGGATATACAGGATTTTAATTCTGCTTTGCTTTCAGTTTCTATTGACAATGACACAATGTGCTTCTGGCTTTCTGATCAGTATCAAGTTATCAGTCAAATTGTGAATAATGTTTCCGTCAGATAGGGTTATATAGAAATTTGTCTTTGCCACATGTTTTCCTCTATTTGACATTATGTTACATTATTGTTTTGTTTTTGCATAGCATGCTAAAGTAACTTGTAGGAATGCCTCCTATTAACATATTGCTGCTTCCCCTCCCCTTACACCGTTCAGTTCTAGGCATACTATGTCACTTACCATGTTTTTGAAGAAGCTCTTAGCTTTGCGACATGAAAATGGAGCAGTGTCTGCACTCTTCATGGCAATTGTGCTCTGAAGGTTAGTTACATAACTTAAAGCAATAGATAGGCTATATGTCCCCAAATAAGAATGAATTCTAACATGTTATGAATTATGACTGCTTCAGATGTCTTGAAATGGTAAAACGGAAAAAAGATTGGAATTTTCATTTGTTCTTTTTTTTTTAAATACATATTCTGTAAGGCATTTCAACATTACAAGTTGAATAATGCATTTTACTTTGTGTGGGATTCCATAACAGTTCTTTTTTTGCTGATGATTTCTTTAGTCTAATCTGTTTAGATGTTTGAAGCTTGACACTATAAGTTGCTTTGATCATGCTTTCCATTCTTTGCACTTTTTTAATTATTAACCTTTTTTAAATGTTTTGCAACTCTTCTCATAGGTTTCTATGCATGACTCTGGCTCTATTGTCTTATTTAAACTGAAAAGAGCTGATGGTTCTTGGTTTGGATATCGGGAGGTGGAAAAATTGGCATCCTTATCTGGAATTCAGTTACGGGTAAACCGTGAGAAAATCTTGAAGATTAGAACAAGCATAACTATATAAACAAATAGTGATTTGTGTTCTAGTTTAGTGATTGCTTGCTAAGTGCCTTCGTTTATGTGGTCTTAAATATTCTAGACCATACAAAGTAGTTTTCGCAATAGAAAGTGTGCAAACACCTTTGTATGTTGTTTAGAACCAGAAAATGCTTTGAAACATCACGAGGCAACTTTCTAGCTTTCTGCTACTGTATCAATTATTTGAAGCTTGCTTATATAATGTTCTAGGAAAACTGGTTTTATTGATCTAGAGGAAGATTAAAACAATAATGACTGCAGTTGTGTTACCAGCTTAGTGACAGTTATTCTTTTGTCCTTCCAACGCTGTTTTGTTGTATACAGGATGCTTTTGCAATCCTGGTTCCTGTGCAAAATATCTTGGCTTGTCTAACTCGGATCTTCTTTCTATCGTAGAGGTATGCCTTGTGGTTGGGTTATATGGATGTTGTTGATTTACTGGAAAGAAATAAAATAAGCTTTGCTTTGAGTTCAGGCTGGGCATGTTAGCTGGGATGACAATGATGTAATAAATGGAAAACCAACTGGAGCGGTTAGAGTATCTATTGGTTACATGTCAACTTATGAAGATGCTAAGGTAGTCTTTTTCTACCTTTTGAGTTCTGTCCTTTATTTCTATTCTAGAAAAATATATGATATTTTTTTATTTTATTGTATACATGCATCAGCTGTTACATGAAATGGAACATAGAAGTTCCAACATAAAGGATACTAATCTATTGGAACTTATGTGGAACTGTTGATTTCCATCGATTATAACATGTTGGGACATATTTGGTGAATGTTTCTCTCATTCTTTTTGTTTGATGGTATTTACTGACCGATGGTTTTCCTCCATACAGAAACTTGTTGATTTTATGAGAAGGTCCTTTGTATCCATACCAAGTGAGTTCGAGAAAGGGTACCTGTTCAGATCAAAGTCAATTCCATACCAAAACTGAAGGTTGTTCAGGGTTTTGGTTCATTTTTATTCCAATAAAATGAAAACTATTTGTTAGATTTGCAAGTTCTCCTTTTCCCAATTGGCAAATTATTTCCATTGTAAAATGACGCTATTATACCTATATTATTCACAATCACAGCTATAAGTTCATTTTAAATACCATGAATTAGACTTTGTATTATTACGGTTGGATATTATTGTTGTTTTAATGTGATAAACCCTTTAATTATATATTTTGACACTATTATTATTATTACAATGTTATGTACTATTGTTGTTTTAATTTGGTGTACTATTAATTAAACATTCTTAGGATTTATAAATTTTATAATATATTTTTAATCAATTATTAATATTATATAAAATAAACCTACATAAAATAAACCTAAACTAGTGTATTTATAACACAATCAACATAAATTATTAATATTATTTAAAATACAATTTTTTATAAAATATAATTATATATTTAAAAAATGAACCTTTAAAAATAATAAAGAATTAAACATATCAAATATGTATGCTTCTTTATTAAAAATAGATTTTAAAAACTGTTTTCAGAAAAAAATAATTAAATAATATAAAACATTTTACAATGTACCATCTAAACACTGAAAAATGTTTTCTGAAAAATGATTTACATTTCTATAAAACATTTTCCAGATTTCATTCTTCGAAAAACATTTTCTGTGAAATAAACGGATAAAATGAAGAATTGAAACAAAATAGCTTAACATAGCTAGAAATAGATTGAATAGTTTATTTATTATTATTTTATTTGGCAGGCAGGAGTATATGAACATAAAATAGCTTCAAACCCATGGATCAAAACATGTAGCCCGTCAACCAAACTAAACAAATAATAAATTAACATGTCTTCATAATCTCAGATAAAATCGAATCGCATTAGAAGTCTAGAATGGTTTAACTTCTCTCCTTTGCGATCAAAGAGGGGAACTGTTCGAATCCCCTGCTTCAATTCAGAGACTGGTAAACAAGTTTGACCGGCGAAATCATCCTTCTCCGACATGTCATATTCATGGACCTCAACTCGGAGCAAAGCCAATTCGGGAACAGTCAATGGGAATATAAACTCTTCATCCCAAACGGGTTTCCAGTTGTCTTCTTTTGTCTTTGTTTTCTTCGTTCTCTCATCAGCTGCCACTCCTGCTATGCCAACCTGAATTAAAAATCCATCATTAATTTCAGGAAGCAGGGTACTGGTGCAAATATATAAACCGTTAGCGTTTCCGGCTACTGGGTTTTACCCTTGTATAGAAATCAGGTGGCGAATAGGTGTCGAAGTGTGTTTTCTTAAAATCCAAGTTCCATCCATCTCCCATGTAGACTCTCACCTGTCAGGTAGACGATTGATGATTCAATAAGAGGGTGATGAGAAGGATAAAAATCTGTTAATATTGAAGAATGTTTACCCTTAATCTTTTCTTGACAGGTAACTTAGCTCGTGGATCAAAAACCCGGCCGTTTGCATCGACATTCATCAAAAAATCGGGTTTTTTCACATAACCACAGCCTCCATTAGCTCTAAACATCCCATGCATCTGCCAAAGAGATCTACCATATCCCTGCAATTAGACCACAACCTCGTTAGTTGGATTTATAAAAAAAAAAATTGGGTCATAACAACAAACTTTGAAACAGCATTGAAGAAAGGCTCTTAGTATTAGTAGTGACCTAGTTCAATTTGTTCGAGTTTGTGAATTCATTGTTGAAGTACAGCTTCAGGAATTTCAACTGTTCTTTCCTCTACTTTTCGTTTAGTCTCAACAAAAGACACGCATAACTATAATTTATACGAAACACATGAACTGATTAGGCACTTTTACTTACTTTCTGCATAAAGATCATGGACTAGAACACAAATCTATAAACTATGTTTTGAAGTTTATCCAGTACTTGAGGCAAGAGTGCATTAATGTCAGAGTACAGCATTTTAATATACAAATAATAGGGCAACTGAGATAAGAAGAGAAACAAAACCTGCATGTTAAAGGCGATCATTTGAGCACCATGCGTCCAACCAATCTGTGGCTTATAGTTTGAGGAGTTAAACCGAGTACCCTTGGGATATATTCTCAGGAAATTTTTCTGGGTAAATCTAAATACATATTGATATTGATGAATTAATAAAAAAAGTTAATAAATAAAGAAGAAAAATCAATTACATTTTTACATTTTCACCACATCAAACAAGGGAAGTCTCTGGTTTGAAACTAATGCAAATAATTACCTCACAACATCTGTCCCGTAAGACATTGTAGCTTTTTCAAGTCCTTGTTCACTCAAACTAAGGCGCCTAACTTTATCAGGTTCAACTTTTAGTGCCTTTTTCAACCCACCCTTGGGTTTCCCAGCATGAATGGCAATAAGACTCTTGTAACCAAGGGCTCTTGAAGAGTTCATCTCGGGTTCAGATGCATCTGTATCTTCATCGTCCTGATTGTTCTCACTTGCTTCACTATCAGTCTGCAACCATACAGGAAACTACAGTGTGAGAACAATAAAAAGCTGCATAAGTATTAAAAGATGATGATGGAGCTGTCTAGGTGCACCTGTAGAAGATTCCTCGTAATCAAAATAAAAGATAATTACTGGGTTTAAATGAAACCAATGTATTATTCAATTCATTTCAGAGCATACCTTGTCATCCTCTTGGTCGGCAGTAAGTTCTGATGGTTCCTTTCCCCAAACATCATCATCTGAATCCTTCTCCTTTTGTTTGTCCTTGTTAGTCTGAGCTTCAAGGTACTCTTTGGGAGGTTTGGTTGAAATAATGATCCGATACTTCAGATCCTCTGGTGAAGGGAATTCTTTTAAACATTCAGATTCAGGGAAAAACAGCATTTTTCCAAACGTTTGAGTAACCATCTACAATGAAATTAATTTTTCCCATCAACCAAAGGTGATTCTATTTCCAAACATAACTGGAAGGTGAAAAATAAAGAATTTTATTAGCTATTAACTACCTGAGCAACTTTAGCCTGAAGCTTTGGAGTCAGGTGGTCTTCAAGAGTAATTATAACGGGATATTCGGATGCACTAAAAGCATGTTCTTTAATGGATTGTAAGCATCTAATGAGTTCCACCGGAGTTGTCAAAGTCCTATAATCATAAACGTACAATTCAATGACTTTTCAAGAAGTAGAAGCAAAACAAACCGAACTGAAAAATGAACGTACTCCACATGGAAGTGTAAAATCAAATGTGAAGGGTTGCAGATAAAGAAGGAATATATTTAATCCCGGGTCATTGTTTCCAAAGAAACATTGATTTTCTTTTGCTCTCTATTCAAAATTTCAGTTTTATTTTAGCGTTGTTAAAGTCTCCGAAGCAAGTATCTAAACAGAGATTGATCACTGCTACTAAAAAGACATCAGATCAGCTACCATAAATTACCATGGTTAAAAGCTATAGCCTTCTAAAATTAAGCTGGCTAAATGCTAACTGTAGCCTGTAGGGATAAGACAGTGTTTTCACCATTTAGCTTCTATTCTGGAGCTGGTAACAAATAATTCATAAAAAGAGATAATATGTCCCAAGTAAACATAAATACCAGTTTACCTAAGGTTTAACATTCAATTATTTATCAAACCGAGCCTGCAAATCAATGCTAGAAAAGTATGCATTTTCGCCTCATAAATCAATGACTTCTAAGATTGTCCCATTACCATCTTACACTAGCTAGAGGAAAGCTAATCTGGTTGTATCTAACCATTCCCACATTGAAAAATATTATATCAAATACCGTTCTCCATCACAATCCAAAAACGAAGAAATGAAAAGTAATATACCTTCCATGTAGAACATGCACATCATCTTTGTGGAATTTGGCCATAGATCAAGCTCCACCACTCTTACACCTCTCTTCAGTGCCTTTATGATAGGGACATCGCTACAGTCACTGCTGAGCTGATTTCCAGTCAAGTATGAATTGTGTCCAGTGAATATGAAATAATGAGACAAGGGAGCTGTCATGTCCTGGTGGACCTGAATTCAAAGTTTATAGTAATTGTCAGAAAAATGGTCTCATAATCCACAGCCATACATACACAGAAAAAGTTGCAAGCAATAATCAAGCAGGACAAAAGATGACGAACATTCCTCGATGTTTTGTCTAAAATTGTAAAATGTTCCCACTTGATCAAAATTTCAAAAAAAAAAAAAACCTTCACTTTGCGCTAAGAGAACACCTTTTTCAAACAAGAAACATCAAAAACTAAATTTGGTATGCCTCCATCAGCTTCAAATAATCAAATCTTTAACAAGCTAATAAGATCACATTAATGTAATGATTAAGAGTTCGAATAACCAAAACAAAAAACGGAGCATTGTAGAAACAGTGAAAAAAATGATCGAAAAAAAAACAGGTCACCTTTGTATCGATTGGCGGATTTAGATCTGCAGAAAACAAGTACTGATAGAAATCATCGAGAGTCAAGGCGTGTCTTCTAAATTTCGCCATATGATGTCGTTTCTGCAGAACCTGCAGCGCAATCTCCTCCGCATCGGCAACCGTAGCACGGCTTTGCCCCTGCACTTCCACCAAGAACTTACGCAACTGCTCCGCCGTCATTTGATTCCCGCCTTCAGCGTACTTGTCGAATGCAGCTTTAACATCCGGCGGTGGTGCCGCCTCAATGAGTTTGAACTTCCTAGTAAAGCACCCGCACATACTGTAAGTCCCCATGGATCAACTCTGCGTTTTCTTTCCCCTTGATAGAAAATGAAACAAATTAATGTTGATTGAAATGGTTTTAACTTGACGAATTTTTGTGTGTCTGTGGTATTTATAAGGATTTAGGATTTGTATTATTAGAATGCTGAGGTGGGTTTAGTTTCATATTGGAAATGCAAGGATTGTTTCTTCTGTTTGGTTAGTTAAAATATTGAACCGAGTAATAACCATTAACCAAATCAATTAAAAGTTTTAAACCGATTTACCTTTAAGGAGTGCCGGGTGGAAATCGTGTTGATCGAGTCCTTCAAAAATATATCATATTTTGAGTCTTCGATTAAATTAATTACTTTTAATTTTGATTGATGAGATGTTAATTCAATGTTAATATTGAGATATAAAAAATAACATTTTAATTTTTTTTTTTGGTCTCATTGTGCATTTTTTCAATTTATACAGGTTTCGATTGATTATGTGAACCATATTTATTATGATTCCTTTAGTTTAGGTTTGAATACATTGGAATTACAAATATATGAAATATAATATTTATTTCTATATAAAAAATATGAGTTTGAATAAATTTTTAAATCAATTAAAATATTTTTTATATTATTAAATTGATATAAAAATTGATACTTAATATATTATTATAAAAGTAATATTAATTGAAATTAGATAAAGTCGTAGCAATATTGAAATGAATTATGTGTTCATATTAAATTAAAGGCTTAAACTATGTCTCGAAAGACTTTTTAGTGCCTAAAGAAATTTTTTATTAAAAATATGTGCCTAACGTTTTCATCGGAACACTTTTAACTGTCTGGACAATAATTACCGTTAAATTTGACCATAAAGTGACATATGTTACATTCTGATAATTTATTTAAAAAATAAAAAATAAAAATATTTTTATTATTTAAAAAAACACCAAACAGCCTGTGCCCCTCCCCTTTCTCCCTTCTCCTTTCATATCGTTGTCGGCTAGGCGTGATCGTTACCGTCAACTTCATCAGCACTCCCAATCAAATTTCCGTTTTCTTTCGTAGTAAATGCAATCATTTGTCGTGGAGAAACGTTCAAAGGTTCGTCGAATTTTAAGCTATCGTCATTTTTTGTCGATTTCAGTCGATCCGACGTCCATAAGCTATACTGCCACCACCATTCGAATCTCCGTGAAATACCAATCAAAACCCAAGTGTTCAGCGACGATGGTGGCTGAAGATGACCGGCAACAGTTGGTAATGGAGGTTGAAATGAGATATTTTAGTTTTTTTAGAGTTTTTTATAATTACAAAAATTTGGGTTTGTTTTATAAATAAATTAAGCTTTTTTAGTTTAAAAAAAATAATATTCTTATTATTAAAAAATTTAAAAATATAACGGTAGACACATAAAGTGTAATTGAGAAAACGTTAATCACCTATTTTGAGCAAAAATTTCTGTAGGCACCAAATATTTTTTAAGGTTAAGTCTAAACATTCATTTTTGTATTAAGCCACAAAATCTTTTATTTTATATTATTTATTACTTAATTAATATTATAGTTTTATATCAATTAAGATTTTTTGCAATATAAACCGATGCATTAGATCAAAATTATATTTGATATCATTTTTTATTAGCGCAAGTCACCATATTTAGGGCTTTAAATTTCTAACAAGAAAAAAAAAGTTCGTCCTTAATCCTAGTTTACCTCGAATTGATCAACTTTTCATTTTTTTTTTATAGATTTCAGCAATTTTATTATTGACTAAATGAATTGCTAAGAACTTGACACCTTTTATACATGCCATTATTAAAGGAATAAGCAGAAAGAGGACAAAGATCCTACTGGACATCCAATAGCAATATGAACGAAAGTTTAAAGCATGGGCACATTCGTGTCTGAATCTACTGCATTACTTTGCTTGGAAGTGCAGAAATATCTGCTGCCTTTATTTTTATATCCTTGGTGTTTGACAAATTAAAGTATGTGATAGTTTACATGAAAGTGTTTTAAATTGAAATCTTAAACTCTCCAACCAACTTTTTGTTTTCTTTTCTTCTTTACTGGGAGTAGAAAATAAATCATGTTGAAAACGTCAACGTTGATAAAGAAGAAAATAAGTAGCCATCTTAAATTGTTAAAGTACAAGTCATGCCTTAAACCGTAAACACCTTCCGAACTTTCTTCATCTTCCTCCGACATATTGGGCAACTGCCTGCTTCTTCTGCAATCCTGCATACATAAATTAATCTAGTTAATTACAACCTGAACTCCCCACTGTTTTATATAAATTAATGAGCTCGCCGAACCTTGTTCCACACATAAAACAGGTAGCACAATGTCCACATGGAAGAAAGAAACAATCTCTGGGTGAATCGGAGCAAACGACACAAGCACCATGAGGTTCATTGTCGCTCCTTTCCCCCTCCTTCAAAGGCTTTCCTTCAAGACTAGTGGCTGCTTGCTTCCATGTTTCCAGATCTCCCTTGTCCTCGTCATTGGATATGGAATCGTAAGACGAACCCCAACTGCCGATGTCATCGTCTTTCTCCGGAAGCAACCGTGCTCGTTCTGCTCCCAGTTCTCCAGCATGAAATCTTGGTTCGTCTCTGTTCTGGTTCATTTTACATAATTGCAAAGCTAATAATATTAGGACGGTCATCGCACCTACAGCATAGCAAAAGTGTTAAATGTAAAAATGGATTAAATACAGGTTAATGCGTAAGTTAATCCAAACTATACATATTTTACGCTAGGGAAATAGAGAAACCTGATCCAACAACATATGTAATCCATCGATGTCCATAAGATACTTACCAGATGCTATTAAGCGTTTCCTGAAAGAACACAAAAAGAAAAGAAAAGAAAAAGCTGGAATACATTGAAGAAAACAGGTTCGAAGTCGAGTGTCTGAAACAGCCAACCTGCAGCTGCCATGGTTTCACCAGGACCAAAGTTTCTTGCTGATTAACACATAAAAACCGACAATTGTGTTCTTTTTACCTCATTCCGAGCAGGTGAAGACAAGACAGCAACAATGTCTTCTAGAAAATAAAGCTCCAAAGCACACATATGATCTCCAAAAGAACATCTGTAATACGCTCGACTTGTGTCATAAACGAGAGCCTTCACTGAGAACTTCAACTGTATCTGAATCATAAAACATTTAATGCAAGATATGAAAATTTCAAGTGCATGGTTCTGAGGGAACTTATCTAATTATAGATTAATTGATGTAAGAATGAGATGGAATTGAGCACTTACCTGAACTTCCTTAGAATTAAAATTTCCTACAGCAACATAATAATTAGAAGCCTTGGGAACTTCCTGTTGGATCTCATCATTTCCTGCAAATTAAGTTCTATTTCAACTGTATCTAATGCATTTCAGAGAAATATTCATGAACTTTCTTTCATATTAAAAACCTTACCATATATTATATTCCATGACAAACTTGTATTGGGATATGATGGATCTTCTACCCACTCACCGAGGCTTTCAATACCTTCAATATGTTTTAAAGAAATTACACCAATTAAAACATTTCAAAATTTGTGTACTAAACGTGTCATGTTAATCATGTTTAAGCCATCGTGTTTGTTTAAGTACTTGTATCACCACCAATGAGTGAAGCAGAAAGTTCAACCTTGGGCAACCGCAAGTGATAAAGGCAAGGAACCGGCGGATCTTATGGTGTATGAAATATTCACTCGAGACCCTTTGTATAAGAACAGCCACTCCTGGAAAGAATATTATAAAATAAATAGAACTCTAAACCATTAATGTAAAATCATGACTTACAGTTGAAAGTATGAAAGGAGGGAAAAAAGAATTTAATACCTTGTGGAATTTTGCAGGTATAATGATGTCATGTGTTTCAGACCAGGAGATTACAACATCTAAAGGAGGTGGTCTGTGAAATCCATACACCATTAACCCAGGTTTTGCTCATCCAAATCTTCAAACTGTAAGTAAATTAATCAAGATTACTTCAGAGTAATGGCACTAGTAGAAGCAAGTTATGAGTTTTGGATACGGATAGGTATCTAAATACCGATAAACTTAAAATTTAACCTTTGTTTTGGTATATTTAGAAGATTATATATACCCATGTCCAAATACATATCGGGTGTTAGATGAATGACTGTGCAGCTGGTCATGTTGCATGGAATGCATGGAGAAGGTTCAAAAAGGTTGCAGTTAGGTTCATGTGCAAGGAATGTGATGTGCTGCAGATGATCACAACCTCAGGCTGTTAGGAATAGCTCAAGTTGTTAGGAGCAGTTATCTTTGTCAATTCTGTTAGAAATGTTGCTTCATTGCTCAGCAACTCAAAGCTATATAAACAATGTAACTGTATCAAGTAATATATGAAAAAGAATGTAGTAGTTTGTTGAATTCATCTTTACAATTTCTTAACATGGTATATTTCGCTAAGGGTCCTGGGGTCTTCTCTTTCGTTGATGCTTAGTTTCTCACCTCTTTCTCAGCGTCATGTTTACCAACAAAAAGGTTAATGTGGTCTTGGATGAATCGAATTACCTGCTATGGAAACAGTAGGTTCTTCTTACGGTGCACAACCATCGTTTGGAACGACTTCTCAAAGGAACCATGCCCATTCCACCTAAATTTGTTGTTAATGCTAAGGTGCATCTGTTGCTAATGAGGCGTATGAGGATTTCCTGGCACAAGGCAGTGCTCTTGCCTCGTGGCTCTTGTCAACGATCAGTGCTCCTCTTTTGCCTCAATTCGTTGATGTTGAGTCTGAGTCTGCATCAGCTGTCTGGAGCACAGTTATCCAGTTCTTTGCAAATAAATCAACAACTACCATGATGAATCTGTACTATAAGCTACAATCGCTAAGGAAGGTGATGATTCAATGCGTGTGTACCTCACTCGCATCAAAGAGGTCTGTGATGCCCTTACATCCTGTGGCAGTCCGGTTTCGCAGGTTGAACATGTAGTAAGTATCCTCAAAGGGCTGCCAAGAGAGTATCAGTCCTTTATGGTTGTCATTACATCAAGTTCTGAGACTCTTTCTGTAACATCCTCAATATCGGGTTAGTGACTAAATTGAAAATTTTCAGAATTTGTTGGTTAAAGTAGATTAATTGAAAAGTGCAGGGGCATATTGTAAATTTTGTAGAGGATTAATTATCAATGAAGGAGAAATAGAAGGGCAAAATGGTCATTTGACCTATAAATGAATTAAAAATGAATAACACGTGGGAGATGAAGGGAAAAAGGGAAGCTTTCTAGAGTTCTCTCCTTCTTCTTTTTTCTCTTCACCGTGGAACCCAAAGGAAAGAGGTGAGTTTCCATGTTTGTTGGTTATTTGTTGAGTTCAAACTTGGTTTATGATCCTTAGGTGATAAGTAAGTTTAAGGAAATCTTAAATTGTCTTAAAACCATAAGATGAAGGATTTTGGAGAGTTTAAAGATAATGAGTTTTTAAATGAAATTCGGAAGAAGAGTTGATAAGTTAAATTGGAGGCTAAATTTGACTTGTCAAGGGTTAAATTAAGAGATATGAAGTGATAGAATTAAATTTAGAACAAATAGAAAATTTAGTATGATTCTTGAATTTCATGGAGAGGATTATATTTTGAAGATTAGGAAGTGTTGAATGAGTATTAATTAGTTTAAGTAGGTGTATGTAAGTTAAGGATATGAAAGGGGTTGAAATATGGCACAATTGAGCTAAAAGGAAGTGATTTTCGTGCTCAAAATATAATTCTGGGCTAATGTGCATCGGTACACATTCAATGTGCATCGATATATCAAGGGAAAATTTCCAGAAATTATTTAGTGTGTATCGATGCACCCCTTAAAATGAAAACATTGAATGTAATTTGTGTATCGATGCACAGGAAGTGTATCGATGCACCCATTAAAAATGGAAACATCGAATGTGATTTGTGTATCGATGCATAGTTAGTGCATCGATTCACAAGTTAAGGAATGTACCGATGCACTATAGAGTGTATCGATGCATACCTTAAATTAAAGATGTAATCAACCTTTCTTCTAGTCTAAGGAGTGAGCAATTAGAATATATCAATTAGAATACTGATATGGATCCATGTATAATTATGTAGATACGGAACTCTAGCAAGCTTTGGAACGATCATCGAGTTAGAATTCGATCGAAAAGAAGGAAGTCATAGGAATAATTAATAGTCAGTGAGGCCAAGGTGAGTGCATACGGATATTAAATATGACTCGATGGGAAATTAGACTTGTGACCTACATGTTGAAATATATGATTGCATGAGTAGAATAATGATTAAGATAAATATTGTGTGATATGACTTATATACATTAATATGAGTATATGTTTGTCATGATATATGTGTGTTATTGGTTATTGCATATGTTATACAATATATGTGAATATATGTTATGGTACATGTGAATATATGTTATGGTAAATGTGAATGAGTATAAAGATACATATGATAATATAAGAATTTGTGAGAAGATATAGGACTATGAGTTACTTGAATACATGAGTTATGCGATATTAATATGTGAAATGATATACATGTTATATGAACACATGAGAAGTGTTATAAGATAAGTGACATATGAATATGAAATCATATGAACATTGATATGTATATGTGAATATGTGAAATGATAACTAATAATGCCCATGTTATATGTCATGAGGGCTAGAGGTATAGTTGGCATGCCAAGAGTCGAGGGTTCTACGTGGTCCTTCGGGACATTTCATAGTGGTCATTCGGGACAAATTCTGTAACATCCTCAATACCTGGTTAGTGATTTAAGTGTAAGATTTTTTTTAAATTCAATGACCAAATTAAATAAATTGAAAAGTGAATGAATTAATTGAAAGATGTTGGTATAAGATTAATTAATAAGTGAAGGAGAAGTAAGAGGGTAAAAGGGTCATTGAGAAAATAAAAGAATAAAATAATAAATTGTGGGTATTATAATACCCATGTGAATGAATTGAGGAGATAAGTTTCCAGAGAGTTATCTTCTTCATCTTCTTCTCCCAAACGTGAAGCACCTAAGCTCAAGGTAAGAATCTGAATCTTGGTTGTTTCTTTGATTTTTGGTTTAGTAATGAAAGTTTGGATGTTATATAAGCTAAAGGAAAGCTTATATGACATTAAAACAACAAGATAAGTGTTTTAGAGATGAATTTGAAGAATGGGTTTTTAGATGAAATTTTGATATGGACGAGCTTTTGAAGTTTGAATAAGATTTTTGACTTGTCAAGAGGTTAATTAAGGAATATGGAGTGTAGAATCAGATTTAAAACATGTTGGAAAATTTGGTATGATTCTTAGTTTTAAGAATTTGAATGAAGTATTGAAGATAATAAGGTGTGTGAATGATAGAAGTTAGTTAAAATGGTTGTAGTTGAATTTAGTGGTATGAAAGGAGTTTTGTATGAGGAAATTCAGTGATGAGTTAATGAATTTTTAGGTGAAAATTTCCAGAATATAATAGGGGAACCGGTACCCCCACAGTAGGGAACCGATTCCCCCTAAAGGAAAAATGAAATATTAATTCCTTAAATTTGTTTAAGCTATTAGAGGTTAATTGCAAGGTTTAGGTTTTGATAATTGTTCAGAAATTATGTTTATGTAGATATCGAGCCTAAATGAGTTCCAGAACAAGGGACAAGTAAGATTAATCGAGGGAAAAGTAAAGAGATCTAGGTGAGTGCATATGCATAGCATGATTATAGAAATATATTCAATTCTAGACTTGTGATAAGTCTAGATTTTATATCTTGAAACATGATTACATTCCGTATTATGATACATGACATGAATTCATATTATATGCATTATGTGACAAATATGCAGAAAAAGTTATGTGATCTATGTGATAAAGGTAAGAATTTACATGTCTATGCGATATAAACTACGTGAAATGTAAAAGCCCATGTTATGTAGATGAGAACTATAGGTATAATTGGCATGCCAAGAGTAGAGGGTCTACGCGGTCCTTCGGGACAAATTTTACGTGGTCATTCGGGACATATATGTATTCTTTGGAACATGTATGAGGTCTTTTGAGACACCTACTTGATTCTTGGTATATGTATATGATTCTTAAGGAATTTCTATGTGGTCCTTAGGGGCATATTATATGGCACTACGGTGCAATTCTACGTGGCACTTCGGTGCATTTCTACGAGATCCTTCAGGATAAATTCTACGTGGCACTTTGGTGCAAATTTATAAGAGCTGTGGTGACAGTATAGTGCACAACCTCACAGTACTCACATAGCTCGGGTTCTCAGTATTGTATCATGGGCTATTGAATCTATTGAACCTATTGAACTTATTATATGAATTCATGATGATTAAATTGAGAAGATTATTGGTAAGGTACATTGTTATGCAGCTTACATGGATTGTATTGATGTTTTCATTACATTTCATCTTATTATGGCATCATTATTATATTTCATTGTTATTATTATTATGCCTCACTAAGTCTATGACTTAGCGTGTAAGTGATTTACACGTAGTACCAAGAACCAAGATTAGCAGAAATAGAAGTGGCAAAAACAACAACACTGCTATAAGATCAGAAGTAATTGATAAAATATGTATTTTGATTGTGTATAATATGTTGGCATGTAAGAAATGTAATAAGTTGTTAGTACGAATGCTCTGATCGAATTTTCTAATGTTTTGAACGTATTTATGTAAATGTAAATGTATAGTAATGAACGGTTAAATTTTTACGGGTTTTATGTATGTTTTACGGAAGTACTGTAGCAGTATTGTAGCAGGGGAATCAGTTCCCTGTAGCAGGGGAATCGGTTCCCTATTTGCAATCTGGAAAATTTTTGCAATCGGTTCCTTCATGATATTGTCTTTTTCTTTCGTTTCCTGTGTCAATCTGGAAAACTTGTTCGCGTGTTGTGAGTACTATAAAATATACGCAAATAATGTGCAAGTATACACAATCGCTC